CGATCTAAATCCCACTGAGGACAGTAGTCTTTTAGTTGATTTCAGCAGGTCCCCCAAGTGCTTATCTCATATTTATCTACAATATCTTGAAGACTTAGGTCAGGCTTGTACCCTTTGGGTCAATACGGATGTACATTGTATACTGTATTGTTGAACTTTCATGAAAATTATGCTCTATTTTATTCCTTTTCTGAATTACAATTAAAACATTTATTACAGTAATTTTAGCTGACTGTTCTTATTTGGTTTTCATTTTCAATTAACCTATTTATGAATTTATTATGTTTCTTTTTCAGAATATTGAGGAATGGAATATTGCCCATCTCAATACAATACTGGATGTCGTAGGAGAAGATTGTGGAATTTCTATTGAGGGTGTAAATACCCCATATCTCTATTTTGGCATGTGGAAAACAACATTTGCATGGCATACTGAAGATATGGATCTCTACAGTATTAATTATCTCCACTTTGGAGAACCGAAGTCATGGCAAGTTTAAACTTTTTATGAAAACTTGTTTTGAATTATGATCCCTGTTTGTGGCAGCTGCATAAGGCAAACAGATGAGGTAGAATTAACTACTTCATGGTGATGGGTACTTCTTTAAGGCCAAGATGATTTAGCTGTGGTGGGTAGCTGAGAAAGCAATGAAACTTGAGGCTTGTGAATGAAAGAAGAACGCTTTAGTGACAACTGTATTGAAAAAAATGGCTAAACAAGAAATTTTATGCTGAGTTCAACAGAAAAAAAAAATGAATATTTAAATAAAAGGAATACATTGCATCAGGAGACACTGGGTATTTGAGAAGGCTTCACTGAGGTCAGTAGGGCAGGTTTGTTCTTAAGCACATGTTTAAGTATGGGACCAGTTCCAGGAGACTACTTAGGGGCCACATCCTCAACTGCTAGTTGAACTGGGGTGGTATTATCTGTTGCTGTCCAATGGAATTAATAGGAAAAGAGATGGTAAAGTGTAGTCTCCTAAACACCTCCACCACAGTCAGAGATTCTCCCTTATGATTTCTTAACTGAATAGGCTTTTGGTGGTATAAGTAGGTCAAAGTATCGTGTAGTGGGATGGTCTGAGGTGTTATGATGTGGTGGGTATGTGTGTGTGGGAGTGCTCAGACAAAATATATTGTTTGAAAATATTGTTTCCCAGAACCCTAAGTGCAAGTAACTGGTTTATTTGTTGCTTTATTCCATTTTAAAACTTCAAATAATGCAAGTCACCACCTCAAAATTGTTAAAATATTTCTGGCCATCCAGGTATGATAGTGATAATTTTCGTAGACAATATTCAATTTATGGCTATGTATTTAGTTGCTTTTAGGTGAAGAGAAAGATCTAGTGCATTTAAAATATGTGACATGGTAAACCTGAAAAGTGGTGTTTTCTCTCTATGCAGAAATGTTAGTATGTTGATCTGCTGCTTAATTCTAATCGCACAGCTCTGTGTTTGCATGCAGAACAAAGGTGCTATTGTTAAAATCTGCAGTAATATTGAGAAGCTAAATTTGCAGTAATATTGAAAAGTAAATTAGGCTTGAGTTACCAGAATTGTTTCTGAGTTTAGCATCGTTTAATGGTATGCTTTGTTGGAAATGATTGATTTTGTAAATAGAGATTATACAGCAATGATAGATCCATTAAAAATTACTTAAAGTTGTTTTACTTAAAAACAAATATCATGTGATACTTATCAAAAAATGATAAAAAGAAAAACATATTTTTAACTGGTATTGTGGTTGTACAGAGATTTTTATTTTGGATCCAGTGTACATGAAGGCTGTTAGGAGATTAATTTTTGCAACACTTCTTAACACTGCAAGAGTGCACCTAACCAAATATTTGTTTAATATTGAGCAAAATTCAAATAAGTGTGTTTCAAAGTATTTTAAAGTTTACTTTAATATGATTAATGCCCTCTGTTCCAGATCTGTGCTGACTCTTCCAATTAAAAAAAAATTGAGTGAGCCTGAAGAAGATAGGGTAGGCACTAAATTAGCTTTTAACATTTAGAAGTTAACTGACAGGTCATATTTGGGCCAGTATATTTAGTCTTTGTGGAAGGGGAATAAAAGCTTTGTATTAAATAAGGGCACAAAGAAGAGTTGCCATTTTAAGGTTTTATTTCTTTTTAGAGGGGGGAAGGGGAGGGGATTCTAGCGGAAACATTGCTGGTGTGAAAGATCCTGAACATGAAATTGACTAGCAATTAAAACAAGTCAATTTCATAGTCCAATCAGAGAAAAATGTACAGTACAAGAACATGGCCGTATCAGTATAATATGTAAAAGGGAATGGCTGTTTGTATGACAGAATAAAGCTGATGTGCAGTATGTTATGCTGGGGGGGGATTTGTCTGGCCTAATTAATTGAGAAATTTTGCTGTCTGCACTGTGGTCTAATCTGTTGAACTGCATTTGGAGTCAAATGCCTGGCAGAGAGCAGACGCAAGTACATCATCATTGTGAAGCTGCTAATAGCAGTAATAATGGTAGGATACAGTACAAAATATGTATGAGACCTGTGTAGATATTGCATTTGAGTCTCCAAGGTAAAATATCTGAACATGAAACCAAAAGTCTGTATAGGGCCATTAAATATTGGGAAACACTTTAGGTGCCTTTAATTATCTGAAATCAGAGTTTATTTTTGTTGCTATTTTGCTGTTGTTGTTTTGTTGTTGCTGTTTATTTGACTACTTATATAAAATAGTGGCAATGGCGGATGCTTCTCATGTCAAAAGGATTAAAATGATATAAATGTTGTTGAAAAATATTAGTAAGGAATATGTGATATGGCTGATTAAACAGGAACAAAGCAATTATTTTTGTAGGCTTTGTGAGCACTTTGAATGAAAAGTAATAAAGCTAGTTTCATTTTATGTATGTTCCAGTTTACATGTGTTCTCTTTATTTAATGCTGTATTTTAGATAGAATTTTAAAAAAATCATTACTAATTTTGAATGTGGGTTTTTTATGATGGAGATTTGGATTATTTTCCCTATACAAAGTCAGCTCCTTCACCAGGTCTTAAAAAGGACAGAGTATAAATTGACATGACGAGACAAATAGATAAATGATAGAGACATTTGTAGACGTTGTTCAATTTGTAGAGACATTTTCAATGACAATTCATCTTTGCTTCACATGGTAACTCTTGTGAATGGACTGGAAATGATTGGATAATACATTACTATACAGGTTTCTGCTATAGAATGCATTTCATACATCATATCACAAAACTCTTTCTTTATAGAAGGAGTCAATCAGAAAAGAAAGGGAGAGGTAAGTTGTAGAAAGGGGAAGTGACTGTATTGCTGAGTCAGGAAAACAGACCCAAGAACTCCAGGAATGTGAGATCCAGGAGGCCAGCATTAGAGGAGCAGGATGAATTAACCTGAGCTCAAGAGTTAAATGGATAAGAGGACAGAAGATGGAATGAAGCAGGTCATTGGTGAGCTTTAAAAGAAAGCAAAAAACTTTAAATTGGAGTCCTAGGTTACTAGAAGCCAGTGCTGGGTTTGGGGAGGACCTGGGAGTATATTTTCTAGAGCCAGAAAATGTGATGGTTTCACAAATACAGATCCTTTGAAAATACCACTGAGTTCTGTGAAGAGTATGGGAGTGGGGTGCAAATAGAATTGTGTTAGAACTGAAACACTTATTCTATCTGTCATGGGCTTACCTGCTGGCTTTTGTGTCACATGTCTGGAATCTGGATGTACTTGGAGAAGCACCTCTCCAGTTGCTGAAAGTGGGAGGAAGGTTGTGAAAAGCTGGATGAACTTTGTAGGTCAATAGGTACTTCACAACAGTCTCAAATGGAAATGGCGTAAATTGTGAATGTGGGTTTTAAGGAAAACTGCTTAAATTAGGACAAAATTGACAATATTTTAGAACTGGTGATGGACAGAGATTTATTTACATAACTGAAGTGGGGAGAGAGCACATTCAGGATGATACCCAAGATTTCTGGCTTTGGCAATAAGGTTGTCTGAGGTAAGAATAGATGGTAGTCAGATGGGGTACAAGAGGCATGTCACTCAGGAAGAGGAACTATTTTGCCTTGTCTCTGTCAGCTGCTTGTTGCATCAAACATCCCACTAATGAAACACTGAAAAGCAAGAAACTAGGTAGGTGATGCAGAGATCAAAGTGAGCGGAGGGAACTATAGAGTTTGGTGTTATCCTTGAAGAAATGATGAAAGCAGCTGGTAACAGTGACACATCATACAGGAAAAAAGAATGTAATGCCTGTTCCTAAGTTATGTTTTGTAGTTAGGAAAAATAAAAATATAAGAAAACAGAAGCGCTAAGGATGGAGCTTTGAGAAATGCCTCACTGTGTAGCATTGGAGTAACGTATACTTTTTTTCAAAGGAAAATGGTTAAACTGAAACTGACAGAAGAGAGTACCAGGTTCTTGTTTATATTTCTCAGGAAGGTTACTGATAAGTATTGCCAGAAGTCACAGAATTCCGGTGGTAAGAGAAGGGTGATCAGAAAAAAAACCCAGCTCACTAATTTGTCTAGGAAAAGAATCAACATCCAATCTGAAATCATTCGGACATGATGTGCCATAGAATGTGATCAGAAGGGTGGGAGAGCAGGACTTTGCTGTGGGAGACTTTGGAAACCTGATATCTCTTGATGTGTGAGTAAACAAAAATACTGCATTTGATGATTTGAGAACTGATAATAGCAGTTTTTTCAGCAAGGCTTGTAAGTTCAGGGCTGACAAACAGTGATTATAAAGGCGGGGGGAACAGAAGGTAAAACGTAAGTTTGTGAGGAAGTCTAATGTGAATGTATCCTTTTGCTCTTGAATATGAATTTGTTTGTGACGATTTTGGAATGGGTGGAGAAAGCAAAGAGAAATGAAAACGGGTGGATTCTAAGGCACTGGGCTCACAGCAGTAAGTAGCTTAGTATTAACATCTGCAGTCTGCTAGTTAGGTTTTCATGAAATAGTGAGTCAGTGATCTGGGATCAAGCCCAGAGACCTCATTTGATATGAAGGATGTAAATTGTATGTTGTAGAATTTGTGGAGGGAGAAGCTGGAAGGTGACCTCAAGAAGTTATCTCAGGGTACAATCTTTCTTATCCTTATTTAAAGTTTTCTAAACAAACGTTTTTCTAACTTGCACCTAAAATCTTTCAGTGATGGGGATTCTGTAGCCTCTTGAGGTACTCAGTTTAATCACCGTCATAAGAAAAAGTTCTTCATGTTCAGTCTAAATCCCCTTTGTTGTAATTTATGTCCAATCTTCCTTGTTCTGCAAGCAGTTGATTACTGTTGTTTTTGGATACAGATCTTTTTGTATTTGAAGGCTGGTGCTGGTCCCCACTCAGTCCTTTTTCCTGCAGACTAAATAATACAATTTTTAACCTTTCCTCGTGTCATGTTTTCTTTACCTTTTAATTGGTGCATTTGTTCTTTTGGTTGTTTTTGCTCTCCTGGGCTAGGGACAGACATTCAAA